TGGAAAAAAAAAAAAAACCGAAAAAAAAAATGCACAAACCTTATTAGTAAATATTGCCAATTGAGCTTGTTTACACATCAATCATCAACCCACATTTTTTACTTTATCTATTGAATGGTTACGACCTTTTTCGTTTTTACTTTTGATGGTAAGACAGTGAAAACCAGCAAGAAGGATCGTCATGCTCAGTTACATGCTCTCGAACAAAGAACAAAGAAAAATAAACAAAACATAACGTGTGCATGCTTTACATAACAAATTATAAATAAACCGACAGGTTGGGGGCTTAACTTGCGTGAATCGTGCATTAGAGTGGCCTGTGTTGCAGACAGAAATTTAACCCAGTAAATGCTCTTGGAAGTTAGCAGAGAAATGGCAAAAATTAGTGGCACCATAGCTACTATAGTTTTACCTGCACAAACGTTAAGACTTTGCCCATAAATCAGCGCCAAGAAGAGCAGCAGACGAATCGACCATCGGATGACACTCATGGTTACCGGAAATAGTCTAGTCCCTGCTTGAGATAATAATAAAAATAATAATAATGAAAACGAGAAACAATGTTAACAAACGACTGACAATGCCAATAGTGCACAGCCATTAATTTGACTCAAAAATATAAGTCTTACCAAATAGAAACGCAACCCAAACAGCGTTTTGCAAGAATCGCGGCCGAAGGACAAACACAATACTTGACTTGTGTCGTAATCGCGCTAGATCCGCAGGTCACTCAGTTCGAGAGTCTGGTTATGTCCGATGATGTTCTAAACGTCTTCTACAATCGCAAGACGAAACGTTTGCGACTAGTGCAGAAAAAAAACAATGATTAAACAAAGAAACGACTAACTTAAATGACACGCACAGCTTTTCGTTAATAGTCAAATGTCATATACGCGAAGACTGGTGTACAGAGTTTCGCGCATGCGAAGCTGTGTCATTTCAGGGACTTCCCCTTTTCTTTGGTTTTCATGTATTTAGAGATAATGAAAGATTGATCTGAAAGTCGATGTCAGTTTCATCTACTTCGTCACATCACTTCTTCCACAAAGAGAGAAACGTAAAGAACAGACAAATCCCGGAAATATGTCGTAGGATTAAGAAAGAAATGAATTAAATTTCGAGAAAAGCGTGCCAGGCACCAGAAACCCCCTCCCCTAGGGGGGATGGGAAAACTACCTTATAAAAGAGAGGGGGTGCCCGTAGAAAATTTTCAGAAGAACCTCTTGAAGGCGCCAAAGACTCGTTTTGTGAACGTTGCCTTAATTCACTTTCACTGCAAACAGCACATTTACGAGCACCTTCCTTCCCCCCTCAGTAGCCAAAATCGTGCTTGTGGCCATCAATGAGACCCCAAGTTGACCCCGTTTCAACCATGAAGCCAAATAAAGCGAAAAGGAAACACAAACAAACTAGCAGACAAGCGATATTGTTCTCACTTTATGCCTGCAAATAAACTAAAGGTTAGGGGTTAGTTCAATGCAGTGTAAATGGCACGCGGTAAATAAACGAGAAGTTATTCTTCTTGTATAGAAGCTACTTTTGAAATAGTCTGATGTCCTCTAGACTGTTGATTTGTTTTAAGCCATTGTATTAAGCTGTGCATGCATAAAAGTTGTTCGCATCCCCGACAATGAAGTATTTCTGCTACTCGAAGTAATTGCATATCATGCTGAGACCGAGACCTGCTGTCGGTAAATTAAAGGTAAGTAGAATATAAATGTCACTCAGAAACTGGTTTCAGTGGCGGATCCTGACACAACCTGACGTTTTACGGCGAATATATCTTTATGCGATTGAGAAAATAGCTTCGATAATCCCGTGGGCAACAGCGCGATAAACATGCTGTATTCCCTCGATCGTAAAGCAATTGAGACGCAGCGTGAGTTAAAAGTAAGACTTGAACGATTTGAAAACATTTTGTTCGACTTCCCCTCCGTTTGATTCCGTTAAAATACTAATTTGACCCACGGCCGTTTTTAACTTGTTGAATTTTCTTAATTAACACCAGACGTTGTTTCGGCGGATTGTGTGCTCTCTCATCGTTATAAACAGAATCTTTGCCTTTAAGTATTTTCTCTGGGGCAGTGCACCCCACTGAATAATTGGTCAGTTATTTTAACGCTGAAAATCATCTGGTCCATTATATTGCAAAATGCACATTTCTGTTCTCTGGGATGGAGAGTAGCAGGGTGCATATCTAAACTGTAACTTCTCCAGAGGCACTAGAATTTCGCTATCAAGACTGGTTTTAAAACAGGTTTGAATGCGTTACTGTGGACTTTCAATGGGTCGCAATGAACAGAGGATACCAACTAGGAAGGACACCTTTTTTAGGATGAATAGACGCAATTACAGTTCTCAATTTGGAAAGTTTCTGTTGCGTGACGGCGAAAGTTAATTGTAAGGAAATACTGAAAGACAGACAAGAAGTTGTTTTGCGAGCTATACACTAGTAAATTGTTTGTACCTTGCAGTTGTTTCGGGCTGATCACGTGCACAGCACCTGATTACTGATTTAGTTTGAAGTATTCGTAACCTTAAGCTACTGTCATTTTGCAATGCAAATTAATAAACCTTAGGAGCTTTCTCAGAAAAACGTAATTATAACTGGTTTCTTGGTTACAACAGCCACATCAAACCAAATTTGTGTCCTATCTATTCCATCTATGTTTAGACTTAACGTTTTTATATAATAGTAAACACGCATTGTACTACTATATATTGTATAATGTATACTCACAACGTTTGAAAACGCAGTTTATAGCTCTATCCAGATCGAAAGCACTTTGACATTAATGACAAACATCTACTTTCACGCATACTTAAAAATAGCCCCGTTTAAGCGGGGGTTTCCCTTTTCAGAACAAAGAACCAATCCGAATGCTCCAAGCAAATGAATCTTAACCGACTGCGTTGCTATTTCTTCCAGCCTTTCAAGCTTTCTGTGGCTTCGGTAATATGGATTCTTTCCTCATTTTAGTATTAGCCCTTAGTGCCAGCCAATATGGCGTCGATGCTTGCGGAGGCTGCGGTCCTTGTAAGTATTCTTGTTAATCTTTCCTTTGATTATTTACTGAACCGATGTGCTTGAAGTAATTTATTGCTTCCATAAGCACAATTTCTCGTCCGGTGTTTTTAACGGAATAAAAGCCCTATGTCGATGAAACGTACTTTAACGTTAAGCTGTACTGTAGTATCACCTCCCGTTTGAACTATCTATTGTTATTTGTTCTCCATGAAACATGTAGCTGGGAAACAGGCCCGGTTTTGGCTATGGATCAGAAGAGTTATAAAATAAGTTGGGGTAAAAAATATATTTCTGTGGTCAGGATATATTACCTGGTTCATCCGGATCCGCTTTTGCAACTCGATGCTGGTAGATCATTAACCCAGTGTTACCTTGTCATAAGCTATATGAAGACAGTGTATGTCATTAAACAGAATTCCTTTCAATCCGTCGTTGCTCTGCGTTCGCAAAAACATCTGGCGAGTCATAAGGAAATTTCACAATAGACACAAGCCCGGGGCAATTCGTTCACTGATGATCGATGATACACAAAATGCTGAATTCACCTTCAACAGTGCTTTATTTTGGCTACGAAGGTTTCCTACGCGTTTAGAAGATTATTTGTAGTTTTAAAAAATTAATGAGGAGACCATAGGTGATAATTTGCGAAGACCCAATCGAAATTCCGGTCTTTCTGGGAAATCTAAATTTGTTTCACTTCCTCGTCACAAAATGGAATTGTTTGTGTCAACGTTGCTCATAGAAACTCAAGCTGTCTTTTATTAGAAGGACACTGAACAAAATAATGCTCGCCACGTATCAGTCAGATGTGTGAGAAATAGATCTTTTATTAGGAGTGTAAGAAACAAACACGTTAGATATGAAACCTCAGTGCATTCGACCAACGCATAGATAAGATCTATTCAGCAAATAAAGAAAGGGACAAATCCCGTCAGAAGGGACAAAACCCTGTTTCATGAAAGGGTCTTTGTGTCGTGTGGCACGCCTTCATAAACAAATTTAGCGTGAAAACCGTACGTAAGTTTCTAACTTTAGCAAGTCGCAATCGACCTTGTCCGCAATCTAACCATTTTGCTTGCCTTACTATGAGCTCTTTGGCGTTTTTCTTTGCTTATTTTAAGGTATTGTTTTGAATTCTTTCAATCTGCAGTATTATTTTGCATACAGCTAGCGTGACAGCGTTATGTTTGGAAATTTTGGTCGTCCCATCTCATAAGTGCAGTTTAATCAAATGATGTTCAGTAGAAACGTTGCAGTATCACTGAAGTAAACAAATCACTT